AGACATCTCACTGTTGAATGGGGCCCAGATGGCATGGGTAGACTGCGTTGCACCTGGTGCTGTGAAGGACACATACGGTTTTGGTAGACCAGGTAAAGAATTACAGGGAAACAGAATCTGTACATTTTACCTGCACCTAATGCAATTTTCATATCATATAATTTTCATAGGCTTAGAATAGAGGAGAGCCCTTGGCTGCAACTGAGTGGATTGCTATAGTGACCAAAAACAATTTTGGCATCCAAAGTTTCAGCAAAAGCATCCTGTATTTGGCAGACATGTGGAAAGCTTTTAAATTAACATTGTTATTAGTAGGTTTTTAGAGTTAGGCTAAGATAAACATTTGGTTGCTTAAAATGAAATGAATTTTGGTTATGTACAATTATTAAAAAAATCCTTTTTCTGGCTGAAAGCTAGTCTAAAATCTTTCATACTCAATGTTTAACATTTAATTTACCTAATCCCTGTTCCACTTACAAGGTAGTGCAGTTCACAATTTTCTTTCACTTTGAGTCTGAAGGAAGCTTTAACTGCACTACATCTTCACAGGTGGCAAACATCTTCACCAAACTTCATTGAGAATGTACCTTTACAAAGACTGGTTTCTTGCCAAGATGTGGCAGATAAAGTGTATTCTTTCTGGCTAGCAGTGCTTCAGCTATCACTACAAACACACTGGTGGTAGTCGGTGGTAGTTGGATCACAAATTATGTTTCCGTGGCAACAGTGAACAAGGCGACTAGCAAGCTGTGATCCACGAGACTCAGGTGTCCAATTAGTATCTGATGGCCACTTGTGTAAATCCCAATTAAGTGTGAATTTTTTTAGGCTCATTTTTTCTGTAGTTTCTTTAATTATTTCAGTTAATCTTAATCCTTTGCACCCTAATATCATTTCCTTTATTCTCATGATTGTAATGAATGATCTAGCAGTATTCCTGTAACGTAGGAGAAATTAGATGCTGGTCACTCCAAGGGTTTTAAGGGTTAAAATAACATTTTGTCACTTGTGTAATATCTGCAGGTCAAAATATGATGAAGTATCATTTGGAAATGTGGAGCTTGAATGACACAGTGATGAGAGCACTAGTTGTTGCCAATAGGCCATGGCAGATTCATGAAAGATTCACAGGAGCAAAGGGCACCCTTAATTTCATATCATAACAGCCTGAAGACTTGCATCAACCCTAAGAAAATCTCGAGATGTCCTCTTTACTGCTTTCTCATCTTAGATTGGAAGTATTCACGGAAAGCATGGTCATTTGATGATAAGTTTCTCTTCACAGAATCATTCAAGTTTTTGTAACTTCATGTCTTCTTAGAAAATGTGTCAGTCAAATTTGTGAAATAGCATTGAGTCTATTAGCCAAGATAAAAAACTGTGTGATAGTAGGTAGGTGTATTGGAACAGATTCGTGATTGATGTCTGCTCATGGCTGGCAAATTTTGTCATGAGGATATAGTATAAATTGATATAAATTGAATAAAATTGATTTTTGAAAATAAGCAGCAGATGATTGCATTGATTGACTGATCTTAATAGACCCTTTCTTTGACCTGATGTTAATACCTATTAAGCCAGAAAAGATTTATGCAAAAACCCATTCCCATTTTTCTATATTTCTTCCTATAGTTGAGAGAGGGAAAAGGTTGCAGTATCTTATCAAGATTAATGCATTGACTTTAGTAACATTAGACATTGTTCTCAGCCTTGAAGAAAATAACTAACCAATGGAAAGAAATTTCATCAAGTGATACTCCTACATGTAAGACCTCTGACATCACAGAGTTCCATTAAAGCAGCAAATTTAAAAGTTCAGCAACTCCCCCCCCCCAAAGAATTATGATGATCTGTTTTGCTATAGTGCAAGTAAGTAATTGCTAAGATAGAATGTAGAGGTAATCAAAGGTCACATCTGCATTTCACTGCTTGATGCAAAGTTAAGTCTTGAAACATTAATAGTCTAATAGCTAGGTCACAGGCCACTACTGACTTTGCTAAGTCTTTTTTGAAATTATTCAAAATCCACATCACATTTTTTAAAATCTAGTTTGAAATTGGATCTTTATCATCTATGAATAGATTTGAAAGACACTGCTAGATTTTATCAGTGATAAGAGTGGGCTTGCATAGCTACAATCTTCCGGGAACAACAAGAGTAAATTTCACAAAAGTTGCTCTTTTTCTTTATTTGTTAAGTCACTTACAGAAAATTTCTACCACTTTTTCATGAAAACACTCAAGATGGCATACAGTAGTATTTTTAACCCTTAGCATTGTGCTAAATTGAAATCAATAGTTCTCACTGTTTTACGTCCTACAACAAAAAGTTAAAATTATCACTGTGAAAAATCTTACTTAGCAAATAGCTAATTTTACCAATCTAGGGAGGAGAGGAAATTAAACAGATCTTGATTTTAAGTTAAATTAGGTTTAAAAACAAGTACATGAAGCTTGTCACACTGATCTATACAAGATGATTATCAATCCATCTAACAAAAATTGAAAGTAATCTCCATTTACTAACAGGTAACTAACTAGGATTTATAAAAGTTCATGAGTATCTTAAACATTGTGATGAAAGAATAAGCTGAATTTTGTACATTATACCAAGAAATGTAAAAAAGCTTGGTGTTTAAGCCTTTAACTCCCAGAAGTGATTAACATGTAACTTCTCCCTATATTCATAAATTATCCGGGAAACAGGTAGTGAGAATACTCAAACTTATCAGGAACAAGATATTACCTTGATTGAACACCAAATTCTTGTAACTGATTACAAAGATATGTGTAGCAGCTGGAGGGGAGAATTGACAATCAGATCTTGGGAGTTAAAGGGTTAAGCCTTTTCTTTAGGTAAGCCTGCAAATCCAGATGTGTCTTTTGTACTGTTTCTCTCCACCTAAGCTGAGAGGAGTGACAGCTATTCCTAGCCCGGCCAAGGGTAGTTAGTCATTGAAACTAATTGCATGCCTATCTGTGCTCTAGTATAACCTTTTAATGTTTTCTAAAAGCCAAGTTATTCCTTCAGAGTAAAATGCATTGTAGTGTGGGAACTCTAAAGGACACATGTTGTCTCATGATCTCAAAAACTGAATCTCTAATATGATACATACAGCCTTCTCACAATATAATTGGTAATGATAATGGTAGTTTCTTCATATCCAAGGATCAGTTGTGGGAAGGTCCTGCCAGGGGAGGTATGCCCTCAAATGACTTATCAGTCCTATTCTTGATAGGCAGATCTTAGGACATTTAGGGCACAAGAAGGTAGGTCCTGTTGGATCCTGCTCTTGTGCTTCCTTTCATCATCTCCTCCTCTCTTCTGCCACCTCTCGTCTTGTGATCTCAAAATCTTGTGCTGCTCTTCCTGTTGTTAATCACCACACAATGTTGCATGGTTTTCTGCAAGCTGTTCCCAATGTTTGGGGTTCATGCCAGCCTGAATTAACTGGCCCTTCAGTTGGTCTTTCCAGCGTTTTCTTAGAGCCCTTCTGTCTTGTTTTCCTTCGGATAGCTCCTTTGGGATTCATGTATCAGGCATACAGGAGACATGGCCAGACCATCATTGTCTCAGCATCAGCGTGGCCTCCATACTGGGAAGATTGGCTTTTTCCAAGACTTCATAGTTGGTTCTGTAGTCCTGCGATCTAATGTTCATGATGGAGTTTTGATTTTTGGAAACTGTTCTAGGTGTTTGATTTGCTTTATGAACAGTACCCATGCCTTGACCCCTTACAGGAGGGTATAGATGACAACAGCCTTATATACCAGAATTTTGGTGGAGAGGCAAAGAGAGGGATTTTGTGTGAGGGTGAACACTATCTTTCAAGTCTTGCATTGTCTGCACATTCCAGAAAGCCATTTTCATATTCATAGTCCTTTTCTGTTTTCATGTCTGTCTTTTAGTTTATACTAAATCTTTTAACTTGTTTTTACCACTAAACTGGGGATGCCCATTGATTGGGCCAACCAACTGGGTAAGGATGAGACAAGCTTTTTTTAGGTCATCTTAAATAGACCCCTCTCTATTCAGGGCAAGCAGTGTATCCTTAGAAAAGGCTGCTTGGTCACTTGGGGTGAGCTGCTTGGTTGCTTGTCTCTGTTAACAAGCAAGTGACCATGTTACCCCAGACCACTTACATGCAGAGTTATTTCTGCAACTTCAGTGCCATCTAGCACCTGTCATTTTTGCCATGCTCCATTGCTACAGGTCTTTATTTCCTGCCTGCACTCTGTATCTGCCAAGTGAGGACCAGCTCATGCACACCAATCCCACTCTTTAGGCCTGGGAAGATTCACAGTGGCTCAGCAGGTTGAGAGGCTGTAAGATTTGTAGGGCTGTAGCTTTTATAACAGAGGTGACATCTCCTATCTTCTGGCTAAAGAGCCCGCTGTCAAAAGAACAATGACTATTTACCCATGGCTAGAGCATGGGTAAAGGACTCTCTGTCATGTCCTTGAACCCAGACTAATTGCATGACCTAATTGTCCATTACATCTGGCACTAGACAGGTTTGGATAAAGTAGTCCTTCTCTTGAGTGGTTTACCCTCCCAGGCTAACAAGCTCCACCTGCCCAGGCTAGGGCTTTTAAGGCGGCCCTTACCCGCCTGATGTACTTGTCATTGGATTTATGGAGCATTTTATAGAGGAAGCAGTGCCATCTGCAGCCTCACCCCATCCTGGTAAGTACACCACCAGTTTGGTCTACAACTCCTTCTGAGAAGCCAGCTTATTTGGAGCTAACCTTCAGTGAAGGCCTATCACTATCTACCACCTTTGACCTGCTGGGTTGGGGATGGTTGCCCCAGATTACCATCAAGTTAAATGCAAACTTATGAGTTATTACAATTAAAAACAATAATCATCCAATCCATTATAAATGTAACAAAAACTTGGAATTTCTCTTATTCATATGAAAACTAATATTTGTTACATCTAACGACACCTGTGCTAGTATTCTTAAAAGTGTGGGCCCGTGTCACCTTTCGCAACACTCTAGTGAGTGTGAGGAAGAAGATATTCTACAGCTGCTTTTTTTCCCATCTCTGCAGCCCACATTAAGGGTGTCTTATCACAACCATCCCTGGAATTAGGGTTGTGACCACGCTTAAGCAGCATCTCAATGGCTGCAACATCACCACTGATTGCTGCAGCGGATAGAACAGTCAACCCCTCCTCACTTTTCAAATATTCATCAGCACCCCTATCAAGCAGATAGTTTGCAGCCTTCAATTTGCCCTGCACCAAGCAATTCAACAGTGGTGTTAAACCAGCAGCAGTACATCTAGCATTTATGTCAAAATTGTTAGAGAGCACAGCCTCAATAGTAAGAGCATTGTCAGAAAGAGCAGCTAAATGGAGCAGACCAAGTTCTAAGTTATTTTGAAGTAATGGATCAGCACCTTGAGCAAGAAGATATTCTACAACCTTGGTATTTCCACAACGTGCAGCATGCATCAATGGTGTGTCTCCCCCATCATCTCTAGAATCAATGCTACAACCACGTGAGAGCAGCATCTCAATGGCTGCAACAGAACCAACTGTTGATGCAATGGACAAAATAGAGATTTCTATCTGAGTGGTTTTCAAACTTTCATTGGCACCCTTCTCAAGCAGATATTTTGCTGCCTCCAATTTGTCAGATTTAATGGAAACCATCAGAGGGGTTAAACCCAGAGTTTCACCTCTGGAATCCACATCAAGACCTTTAGAAAGCAAGGTCTCAATAATGATGACATTGCCAGACTGAGCAGCAAAGTGGAGAAGGCTCCATCCATGTTCCCCTCTCAGGAATGGATCTGCTCCATGTTTAAGAAGACAATTTACAGCCTCTATCTGTCCACAAGCTGCAGCACTGACTAATGGCGTGTTTCCCTCTCTATCTCTTGAGTCAGGTCTTAAATCATAAGAGAGCAACATCTCAATTGCTGCAACACTTCCGTACTGTGATGCTATGTGTAAAGCATTCCTCTCGTAAGATCCAGTTGTCAAAGATATGTCTGCACCCTTTTGAAGAAGATATTTCATAACTTCAACATGGTTTTCCTTGACAGCAATTATCAGTGGGGTGGCTGAGGATTCATCTTTTGAATCAATGTCAATGCCACAAGAGAGCATGCTCTTCACAATGGAAGTGTTGCCACCTTCAGCTGCCGCATGAAGCAGATTTCTTCCAATGAAGTTTTAAGGTGTGGATCAGCTCCCTTGCTGAGAAGAAGGTCTACTGTCTTCTCTTCTCCTTTAGCGGCTGCCACCATTAAGGGTGTTGTACCATCATTACCCCTTGAATCTATGTCTAATCCAGAAGATAGCAAAGTCTCAATTATAACTTCTTTACCACCCTGTGCAGCAGAATGTAAGGGATTCCACCCTCTGGTTTCAACAGACACACCTCCTTTCATGTCAGAAGTTTCTGTAGCTGGCAAGGGAATTGATTGAGTGTTGTTATCAACACCAGCAAGGACCACAAGAGAATTAATGTCCTCAAGAATTCTCAGAGCAGAATCTCCATGTTCAACAGCAGCTGTTGATAAATACAACAATTAATGAAACAAGAGTGTATGTGACAGTTTTGAAAGAAAGGTTCAGGGGTTGGGAATTCAAGACTTTGATGCCCAATTTTCTCTAATTAGTTTACATTTTTTTGCAGTTTAAATCCAAAACAGATGCACCCAGAGAATCAACTCTACATTCTGAACACTGGCAGCATGCATGCCAATTAATCCTTTTAGATCACTTAAAGTGATTTATTGAAAACTCTGTGGGTCAGTCCTCCCTTCTAGGTGACACAAGGTTCCCAACCCACCAAACAAAGTTATGTTGAGTGAAATTACTGCAATAAATTCTCTAATCCTCTGAAAAACTGTTAATGACAGATTTCTTTCATAAAGCTTTCCTGACCCAAACTATTTGCTCACCACACCACAGCATGGAAGTAACACCACTGCATGATCTCATTTCCAGTCTCTTTTTAAATAAAACCATATCTTAACTCGAGTTTTATATTCTTTTCCTTTGAAGGTGCAAGATTTTGGATTTCAACTGGGAAAAATTCTTTTTTTACTTGGTGGAAATGATACATGCTATTGATTTTTTTATTGTTGGACATACATGTATTGTTTGAGTAACAAAAGAAGAAAGAAAGATGTGAGTTATTATGGTTGGATGGATGGACTAATTAGTTGATTGATTGATGGAATAGAATGGTATAAAATATACCTGGACCAGGAACTGAGTCTGATACCTCCTCAGAGACCTCCCTTTTTTTCTTCACAACAGTGTTAACATTGCTTGGGTTAGGAGCTCTACGTTTCTTATTTCTGATGACATCTCCTTGAAGCTCAATTTCTTTGACAGAAGGCTCTTGTTCAGTCACTGTACACTGATGAACATCAGAGTTTTCACTCCTCTGGACAATTAGTCTTGCCCCTAAGTCTGCAAGTAGAGTATTAAGTAATTAAAGTAAATCCAAAAGTTTAGGAGGATGCCATCAAAATGGCATTTTCTGTGAGGTACATGCATAACAATTCATGTTTCATTTTAGCAGTCAAGGAAAAAATATGGCTCTCTTACTGTCTTAGAACTTGAATTGCTAGAATGATCATCCATTTGTTATTTTGTTAACTTAATTTTAGAGCTGCAATGAAATGAACCCAGGATCTGGAGAAAAGCATAAGAAGCCTGATGATTTTGGATTTTTGGAAAATTAATTTGATAAAGGTTTGGTGAAGTCACATTGATTATGGACAACTGAGTGCTACATTATAGGTAATAATATAATATCAAGTATAAACATTGATTTTCCACAAAATTTGCAAAGACATCATCATACTGATGAACATGATCAGTCAGTGCTAATTCTCTATGGCTCTTACCACTGGATGAACATGCCCCTCCATTCTCATGTTCTGAATTCCAAGTTTTCTTCTTTCCTGAAGTAAAGATTAGAATACATCTAAATGGAGTAGTCTCATACCAACTCGTCACAAACTGTCCCTATAGCATTTAGAAACAACTGCTCACTGGTAAATTGAATATTTAATGCAGAACATGTGAGCTTTGTCATTATTTCAAATTTTCTGCTTTCCTGATGCAATATGAGAAAACTTACCAAATGCAAGATTGTACATCTTTTCCACAAGGAAATTGCAAGGTTCCTCCCAGCTGAACTTCTGCAAATAGTTTTCACGAAGACTCTTAGCCTCTTCAAGTCGTACATTCCTTTTTTTGTCATGCACAGCTTTTATTGCACTGGCCCAGGCTGCAGGATCCTCTGAATTCACTATACACTGTGACCCATAAGTCACCTCCTTTAAGGCTTCTGCAATTCCTGAGTTACCACTGACAAGTACTGGAAGACCAGCAGATATGGCCTGAAGAGCACTCAACCCGAATCCCTCTGTTTTTGAGGGCAGTATGGCAATATCCACCACAGAGAATAAGTTTGCTAATGTTTCCCTGTCTTCATCTAAACTGCAGATACTTAGCTGATTACGACCAATACCACACTGAAGTAACTTGTGTTTTAATTCATCTTCTTTTCCTTTCTGTTTGGAAGCAAACTTGAGTTGGTAAGATTTATCCTTTAGCTCAGCAATAGCTTTTGCTGCAGTATCGTACCCCTTAACATCAAAATCTTCACTATCACCACTCTCAATTACCAAGACACAAAATCTTCTTCCTTCATCACTTGCTTGCTGCACATCTGAAAATTCTGTGAAAACGCTTGGCGTCAGGTTAAAAACATCTTGTTTTCTGAGTTGGTGCTTATATGCATCAGTTAGCTTGGGGCCAATTGTTACAACTTGATTCGCCATTTGACATAATTCTATTTCTGTTTGCTGCTTTTGTTGACCTTCAGAAATGCTTTTGTACATGCCAATTTCTTCAGGGGCAGTATGGACAACTTGAATCCATTTGCAATGACTGTTATTGGAATTTCTCTTTATGAGTTGAATTTGCCGACCAAGAGCTACTCCATGGCCTAGAACACAATCCATAGCATGGCCGTCAGGTACAGAGGCTAGCCAATCAACTGGTTCAAAACCACCCAGTTTATCTGCTTCAATGAGTTTAACATTGTAACTATCAGCATCTTTCTTGTCCTCTTCACTACACTGAGGTAAGAAAACACTGACTTCCACATTAGGATGTTTAGCCATCTGTATTGCAAGCTCTCGGTTGATGGTTGTCAAGTCTCCATTGCTTGAAGTTTTCCATTCAGCACTCAAAAGGGTTACTCTCAGTTTTCTTTCCCCAGCATTGTTCTGTGAGCACAAGATTTTTGTGATTTAGGAAAATACAATTTACAGTATATGAATATAAAAAAAACTCATTTATGAATTATTTTACTTTTGAAAGACACTTAATAATTTTCAATTCACTTGGCAACATCACAAACTCATTAAACTTATGAGCAAAAGTTGTACAAAATTTCTGTGAGACAGTAAAGAACAATTGTTGTGGATACTGGGATTAGTGTGATACAACTGTTTAATTTCATACTCTTAGAAGTGACCTACATCTGTAACTGTTTGATATCACACAAAAAAATGTTACACACAAGTATTTCCTTGTCAAATGTTCAGAGTTTGGTTTTGCATGACATAGCAAACTTTAAATCATCCAATTCTAACCAACTTATATGATCATTTATTATCTAAAAAAAAAAGTGTGAGACATGAGACAGGTAGAACATGTTTTTCCTCAGCTTCAATTATCCAAAAATAAAAATTTACGACAGTAATCTATATTTACTTTTAATCTTAAACTGATGTGATCTCATTTTACTCTCTTCTATATTTTTTTCCACATCAACCTCCGGCTTGGTGAATACCAGTAATATGTAGTTGCAAAGTTTCATATCTGCAGGCAAGTAATTTGCTCCTGAAGTGAGAGAGTTGGCAAGGATGCACTGATAAAAGTGAAGTTTCTTTAAAATGAAATTAAACCAGAGTGAGCAAAACAACTTGGTCGTAGCTGTGATTTTCAGAAGCAGTTGTTTGATATGCTACCTTTAATTGTTCCGACATCGCAGGAAACTTTTCTGTTAGACAGGAAGTTTCTAAAATAAAAATCATAAGAAAATGAATTACTTTCATTACTTGTTCACAAAAAATGTGTTAAATTACCAACTTACAGTAGACCACTGTATTAAATGACCACTGGAAATTACTGTTACTCTCATGTTATCATATTGCCTTTTTGATCAAGTGAAATTTCTTCCTTCTGATTAGCAAATAGAAATGGAGTTTTCAGGCAACAATGCAGAGGAGAGGTACTTCAGAGCTAAAAGAGGTTATTTTTAAAGTGCTAGAAATTTGACGAATTGTTTAGCGATTACCTGCAGGGTTTGAATAAATTATTCTGCATGCGATCCCTGTAAATAATTACTGGGATACCTGTGGTAGCCCAGTCATAAAATGCCTTTGTTTTTTTGTGTTTTTTTTTTTTTTTTCCCTCCGCCCCAAAATGGAAAAATTGCGCAATAGTACCTAGAGGTCATTGGGCCCTCAACACCATGACAACTAACTGTCATCCAATGAGGTATTCACATGCTGATCACGCGTGTTATCCCTCAACGCCATGACGACTAACTGTGATCCAATGAGGTGTTCACATACTGATCACGCGTGTTATGTTGATGATGATTGACGTTGTCATGCACAGACAGGGCCGGGTCACATGACGAAGCACGAGATTTTGCTTATAAAACTCTTTGGTCAGTCGTTTTGTATTTCAACGTATTTGGATTGCGATCTCCTGGAGCATTGTGGCGCAAACGCGCAAAATACTTACAGACGCATATACAAGTCGTATTAATCGCGGCTAATCCACACTGAAAGATATTATTGAGCGGTAATTTTGGAACGAATTGAGTCGCGAACGCTTGAAAGCCATGAAAGTCTTGAATGCCTTGTATGCTAAGTATGCCAATGTCTTAGTTGGAAAACGTTCACTTGTTGTAAAAAGCAAAATCTGAAACCAAACTGCATATACTCTATGCAATCTATTGAACAACACTACTACCGTGAGACTGAAGAACATAACTATAATGGATGCAAACTGCTTGTGAAGAAAGACGACATGTTGGATTCACTTGATGGCAAGGAACGTAGCTACGATAACAGTACGAATGGTATTAATTTCACGATCAGAAAGGTGAATCTTATGTTTGTTTTGATTTTAGTTGTATGGATATTCTTTTTTTAATGAATACGTGATCCAAAACCCTGTGTTTTTTTGTGTGTAATATTATCATGTTAAATATTGTTTACGCCATTGTCTTGTCACAGGCGGCCCAAGCTCACGTCTGGAGAATGAACGCGTCACGCGTTGTGTGACTCGGTGTTAAGTTACGAGAGGAACTGCACGTTATGAGGAATAGTATAGGGAACGAAGTATGGTCGATTTACAACCATACATATTTCGAAATATGAACATTTTTTTTGTAAAATCAATAAAACTTACTCATACCCTGTGTATCCGTTGTATTTTCTGGCGATTTCTGCCGTTTTAAGCTTGCTTTACCATCACTGTTATTCACGTCATCTACTTTTATTACGTTGGTAAAATTTATGCAGACATCACACCAACCAACTCGCGCGCAAAGTAAGAAGACTATATTGAAGGCTTGAAATAATATTGCGATCGATTTTCATCAAGAAATGAGCCAGGAATATTCCACAATAGTGCAAATAATCGTGAAGGCGGATCGCATAAAACCGATTGCGTGACGCTCGGTAAGCTGTAAGATGACATGTTATTATATACCAGACGTAAAAACTCTTCAAATTCTTAGTCTGCATTTTGTACCCACTCTGCAGTCTGCAGTCTATATTTTGTATCCGGTCTGCAGTCTGCTGTCTGCATTTTGTACTAACAGGTATCTGTGGCACCAATACAGTTTATTTTTGGTTACATTTATTCGCAAAACACACATAATCTACTACAAAATACCTGTGAGTGAGGTAATTCGACATTTTCGTTCTTTCCCACATTAATATTCTTCTCTCCTTTTGTAAGAATGTAGACATCACTCACAATGTTTCAAGTAATCCACCCACCCTATAAAAAAGTAACCCTTGCATGCATAGCATGCCTAAGTTTTGAAATAGGTGTATGCCCTTGGCCAGACTTGAGCGCACTATTTCAGTATACTAGTCCGACACCCGTAGTATCACTACACTTGATTCCAAGGATCCAGTACCATCCAGGTATCCCAGTTACCCTGCTCACAGGGTCTAGTTATTAAAAGTTTTCATATAGTTTTCTCATGTAATTTCCGGCCGATAACCCCGTGGGTAATCTGTCAATTTTTCCACAAATAGTTGTAGGTGCGGGTAACACAATTTTTAAAGCTTCCAGTGTAGTTAACTAGACCCTGTGAGCAGGGTAACCGGGATACCTGGATGGTACAGGATCCTTGGGATCAAGTGTAGTGATACTACGGGTGTCGCACCAGTATACTGAAATAGTGAGCTCAAGTCTGGCCAAGGGCATACACTTTTTTGAGTTGTTTTTTTTTTCATTAACAAAAATAACATCTATGTTAGCGTACAGAGAATGGTATGTTTCTCGCACCAATCAGATCGTTTAGGGTATGTTATGTATCTCGCACCAGTCAAAGCGTCGTTTTTGTTCTTTGGTTTGAGAGGTGTTCAAATTTCATTGAAGTAACGGGGGATTCGGAGAGAGCGGTTCGTAAAATGGAATCATTTTTTTAGATAAGAAATGTTGGCTTTTCTGTGTTTTTAACGTGTATTTTACCGCGTTTTATGAGAAATGCGATACTACTGGACAGATGAAAGATATCAGATTACCCATAGTAAACGTGTTACTCGTGCTGTGAAAATGGAGGATAGTTGTTCGAAAGAAAATGGCGTTCTGTGCACCGTAGTACGATCATGGTTTTTGTTCCTTCACGACGAGAGTAAGTGGAAAAATTTTGAATTAAATATTGCTTGAGGTGTTGATGAATTGCACCAAACATTTTGATTTGAGCAGTTCTTTAACGGCAAACTGTGTTGCAACATTCATGATTTGTTGAGCGTGCCGATTATATTTTTCAGGATTGGTTTGCTCGGTGCTATCTCTAGATGAATGTCTGATTAAAATAAACTATGAACGATTTTGTGAACGTTTTCGATGCCTGGAGAAAGTGATCCTGAGGAGTCGTTTGTGTTTGACCGAGGACGCATTCAGATACCATCGTTAGCATGTTTATTTGATTTTGTTATCTGGGATGAATGAGTTAAGGAGGTAAGTTGATATGATGTGATCTACTAACGTCGAAAATATATCAAGTCAAAAGAACAGTTTAAGTCTCGGTCCGCATTTTTGTCAACCAAATAAACACATACCGCATAAAAAGATGATAATACGGACCAAGTGCGAAGCTGTCAATTGTTTCTCGGATGTTGCGCGTGTTAAATATTCAATAGTGACATCTCGTTTACATCAACATCTACATCTACTTTTATTACGTTGTTAAAATCTGTACAGACATCACACCAACCAACACGCGTGCAAAGCGAGAAGACAATATGAAGGCTTAAAATTATATTACGATCGATTTTCATCAAGAAATGGGCCAGGAATATTCCAAAATAGTACAAATAATCGTGAAAAATCGTCACGCGATCGCTTTTCCGCAGTCAGCGGAAAAGCGATTGCGTGATGCTCGGTAAGTTGTAAGATGACATGTTATCACATACCAGACGAAAATACTCTTAAGATTCTCAGTCTGCATTTCATACCCACCTTGCAATCTGCAGTTTACATTTTGTACCTGGTCTACATTTTGTATCCGGTCTGCAGTCTGCATTTTGTACTAACAGGTATCCATGGCACCAATACAGTTTATTTTTGGTTACAGTTATTCACACAACACACACAATCTACCACAAAATACCTGTGAGAGTTAATTCGACATTTTCGTTCTTTGCCGCATTAATACTCTTCTTTCCTTTTGTAAGAATGTAGACATCACTTACAATGTTTAGAGTAATCCAGCCACCCCCAAAAAAATAATTTTTGTGCATGCATAGCAAGCCTATGTTTCTATTTGTCATTATATAATGAGCTTAGTTATGCACACTCTGATTGGTTCTCACTTATGATCTATTGGAGGACAGACATGTAGATGACATCATCATTAAAA